CATTGAAGTAATGCATGAAACGTATCTAACACAGTGTCTGCTGCATAGGAAATACTAGCTAGTGTTGGCCTACTTGAAAATATAGAGGAGTCATCAGAGGTGACGTGATGCCAATAATAGAGTTCCGATTTTTGCTATTCTTGCTATTCAGAGTCCCCAATTTTGTGGGCGAGTGCATTGAACTAGGTGGCCTCTGTCCACCTCTAGTATTTTATCAGCCCTGGAATCCACTGACAAATGCACTTTGCTAGGTGCCTTAAATAGATTATCTTGATTAATCATCCCAACCTGGGAGGACTACTGGTAGCTAACACATATTTAGCTGGGCACTCCTCAGACACATATGTGAACCCATCTCGTACTCATCATAATCTTGTGAGGCCAATACTCATATTATCTCCATTTTACTGTGGAAGAAACTGAAGCATAGAAAGACTGGCTCAGGTTCCCACAGTGGGAAAGTGGCAGATCTGGGCTTTCAAACCCAGACTCCAGAGTCTGTGATCTTAACCTCTAGATGCACTGCCTCTCAAGAGGTAGGCATTTTTATCACCAGTTTATGAATAAGAAAATGTAGCCCAAGGTCACACGTAGAGTAAGTGAGAGAAATGCAGGTAAGAATCCAGGCTTGTCTGACACGCATATCTGTGCTTCTCCTCACCATGCCACAGGCATGTGTCCCAGGAGTAGAAATAGGAGCGAGCACTCAGGGTGAGGTTCACAGAAGAGGTCTATGGGAAAGCTTCAGACACTTTGATCTAACAAGATGGAGCTCTAGACATGAGATGTCTTTGTGTCATCATCTACCCCTGCCACAATGAGTGACTCCACACCCTTGGGACAACAGCAGCAGCTGCATCCCTCAGAGTCTCAGAGTCCAGAGGGACTTTCCTGAGGATGTAGACATAAAGAATCACAGATGTTCCCTAACACTCGAATCTGCCCTGTTCACTGCGGGTTTTCTCTGCCTTGGTTCTGGCTCTATGAAGATGAATGTTCTAGCTCTGGTCTTCTTCAAATCACCTGTGTTGCTTAATGATCTAAGGAACAATAGCTGCTCGTGGCCACTGTATCCAAATTTGGGGCGCAGAAAGCATTCTCATCACCAGTTCTTTTAATCGATGAAAAATCAAAGATTGCTAATTAAATTTATATCTATAAATTATGTATGTGGTGCTTTGGCAAATGCTATACAGATGACACTGAACAGGACGTTTTCAAGGAGCTTATAAAACATGTCATCTTTGTAAATGAGCCCAAGTTACAGGCATTTTCTGCAAACACAAAGTAATATTTCACAACACAAGATAAACTTGAAGATAAAGAGTTTAAAATTCTTATATAGGCATTTTAATAATAGAAGAGCCCTATACTACTGTCCCCAAAATGTCCTAAAACACCACCCACCAGGCAATGTCCCCAGTCAGTTCCAAACAAATTGAGAAAATCTTTCAGCCTGGCATTCCAGGACTCATCAGGGAGACCCGAGGCTTCCTCTTTGCCGTATACCCTCTGTGTTCCCCACACGCCACTCTTAGAAACAAGACAAACCACTTGCTGTTTCAAGAGTACAACCTTCATTTTCTGTTATCAAGTGGCTGTCCGTGTAGCTGTTTCTGTGGTGTCCTGACTCAAACTCCATTCCAGCCTCTTCTTCAAGTCACATCTCAAATGCCACCATTTTCTACGTGAAGCCTTTCCTCACCCCTCCAAATAAAAAACAAGCTTGTCCTCTTCTGAACCACCAGAGGTCTTTGTGGTATGTGTGTGTGTGTGTGTGTGTGTGCGTGCACACTTCTTCTATTATGGTGATTTATATTACAACCTTGGCATATTTACCTAATTTCCCAAATTAGGCGGTAAAAGCCTCAGGAATTTGGTTTATTTCTGAAGTTTCCTTTATAACCTCTACTCTGTCTGATGTCGTGCTTACAACACAGGAATTCAATAAATATTTACTGAATTATCATTTCATTAATAATGCTAATGATTTACTGACCTCTTATCTCTTATAGAATATCCACTATGGGCCAAGGATGACATTTATGTATTATATCTAATTGAATATACAAAATCCTGTGACTTAGGAAAATGCGGCTTAACAAGCTTAAATAAGTTGTTCAAGGTTACACAGCAAGTAGAGTTCCCAACTGTTAACATAGCAGCAGGATGTACTTTGGATCTGAATCCAAATTTGTTAGATTCCAAACCTGGGCTCCAAATCAACACTACATAAAAGTGATAAAACTGAAAAGATATATTGCGTCTGATTTCTAGATAAATGAACTTAGCAAGTATGAAACAAAACCACAGCTTGTGGTAGTGAGGAGAGCTAGTTTTCAAATTAATCTGAAGACTTAAAAATGACTTTTGAAGGTTAAAAAATATACAACATGAAGAACCTTTATCACTACAGTCTAAGAAGTGTAAGAGATGGGGAAAGAGACTGTCTGAGGCATTTATTTAGAAGAATAACTTATTACTAAACTGCATTTGTATGTTATAATAGAAAAGACTTCTGCTTGGGAATTTGACAAAGTAGGGTTAAAATTCTGAGCCTAACATTTTTAGCCCTAGACCTTGGGAAAGTTACTTTATCTTTGTAAGCCTCAGTTTTTGCAAATATTAGGTGACAATAATAACAATTGCTTTCATAGATAATGCAAACGGTAGACGGGTATAAGGTATATAATTCAACAAATGATGGGCACGACTAGTGTTATTATTACTAATAATATTATTTTCATGTCAAGTGACTGTGCTAAGCCAGTGTTCTTGAGAAGAACGGAAAGGCAGAGAGGCCATTACTGTTCTCAACCTCTCCCACTGTGAGAGTGTACTATTTGGAAAAGCAGAAGAGGGGAAAAGGGCCAGCAGCGCTGCTAGCCTTTAAGATCCAACACTTCCTTCTCTTTAGATGGACCCCCCAAATTCTTTGCCTTGCAACTAAAGAACTGAATGTCAAAACATGGAAAGCAAGTCAGATCCTCCCTTTAAAAAACCCTCAATTTTTATTCTGGATGACTGCTGCATTAGCCATCTCTCGTCCTCTCCCAGAGAACGTGTTCTTTGGAAGTAGTAGAAGTAGCATGGCATTTGGCATCAGTCCTATGGGCATACAAACATCATACCCACCCATTTTTATTTTCAGGTGTTTCCATTTTATTATCTGATCCTCAGTGTCTTTAAATGTCATCTGGAGAGGAATGCTCTGAGAATAAATGCAGTTATGGCTCGTGTGCCCAGCAGAGTAGGCACTCAATAATGACTGATTCCCGTTCTCCTTCTAAGTGGGAAATAATCAACATCTTAGGGCCAATATGTTCTCGTCTCTAACTGGCACCTGCCACCATGGATTGATGGTTAGGATCTGAAAGGTGCTACCTCATTTAAATAAGACACAGAATGGTAATTACCAAGGGATAAGTTACAGACATTATTGATTATGGTTGTAGCCAAACCAGTGACCTGAAAGTGACAGACTTTTTTCTTTAAAAACAAAAAATCCCAGAAAAATCTCTGAGCTATTCAGTCTCCCAGAAAACATGTGCCTGAAAACCCATCTGCAGAAAGGAAAAACAATTCCCCCAAATCACTAAATTTTCTTTCCTCTATCAGCTTCTCAAATGGAAGAGAGAGAACACAAACTCGAAGGTGGATTTTTCGCAAATTGCAATATTAAAAAACAAAACATTTTCTGGTGCAAGGTCTAACACTTTTCAAACCAGTATACTGGAGCTGAACTCAAAGTCAACTATCATGGTACCTGTGATAAACGAAGTTACTTTGAAGTTACCAAGAAGTTCCTTGGTAGAATTCCATTATGTGTGTTAGGAACCTCTCATTATTTGGAAAAATATGAAATCATTTCCCCTAAAATCAAAATAAACATGAATATCCAAACCCAGTAGATACCACTGATGTTCTCAACATTCATTTGTTGAAATTTACACATTCAACCACTGAAATAAAACTTCCTTTTCCCTTTCCTCTTCATTTCCTAATTTCCTATTTGTTATCTGTTGAGAGTTGAAAGAGAGAAGCCGCACCATTGGAAGGATACCTCCAATACTCTGACAATAACAGAGGAACCATAACGTTTTCTGAAGAAACACCACCAATTTTCTTACCAATAACTTTGCACCATATTCACATATGTAAATTATTATGTGATCACCATCCTAGTAATTACATATGTATATCTGTGTGTACGTGTGTGCGTGCGCCTGTATACACACACGCACACACACAGAGTCCATAAATCCACAAGGCATTCTAAGCGAGGCTATCAGAGAAAAGGACTTCAGCTGCCCAGAGAGCGGAGCAGCCTTTAAATGAATCTTGTCATTTGGACACAGCTCCTGCTCTTCAGCGAGCACTGCTGTCGGAGCCTCTTCATTTAGCAGTTTTCAATTTTTTTTTTTAAGATATTTGTTCCCTGGTCAGCTTAGTCCCCCCGGCACTTTCATCTGAAAGGGAAGGCGGTGGTAAAACGGGAATACGCGCCGGGACTCGGGAAGCAGGAGTCCGTCCCTTCCACACCCCTGGGACTGATGCCCTCTCCTCGCCGGCCCGCTGCTGCTCAGCTTCCAGTCGCAGAAAGCCGGCGGCCGGCGGAGCAAGGCCACTGAGTGGATGAAGTAAAAATTCATCCAAGGGCTCACCTCCTCCCCGGCCCCGACCCCCACCCATCACCTCCCACAGCCCCCACCCATCACCTCCCACAGCCCCCATCCCTCCCATCCTCCTCCCCATCACCCTAACGCTGCAGCCACAGCAGGGGGGTTGCGGGGGCGGCATGTGGGGGAGAAATGCGGGCTTCCTTCGCACCCACCCCTGATGCGCCCTAGAAGAATGTCCTCTGGGGAAGGGGCTGCCCACAACTTGGAGGAACTTAGAAGGCAAAGCCGCCGCACCCCGACCCTCAGCGGGGCCTCCACCCTGAAGGTGAGGGGCGACCGAAGGGAGTCCGATGCGAGGGCGGGCACCCCCGGGCTTACCACGAGCACGGGGACCCCGGCGGCCAGCGAGTAGAGGAGCACGGGGGGCACTGCGCTGCTGTCCTCCGGGCCCGGGTAGGGCTTGCGGTAGGCGCTGTCGTGGCAGAAGAAGCCCTGCACGTTCACGGTGAACGTGTCGGTGTACTCGAAGTAGTACGCCAGCATCACCGTCCCTGCCATGATCACCATCTGGAAATAGAGCATGCTGCTGGTGAGCGCCGCGGGCAGCAGGGGCATGCACGCCTCCCGGGCCGGGCCGAGCCGAGCGGGCGGCGGACGCGGCGGGCCCCCTCCCG